TTTCTCACGCGAAACGCCTGGCCCGCCCTACCGACACGTCTGGGGGTGCGGCAGGAACTACTTATAAAGAAAACAGACGGAAGAGGGAGCCAGGTACGCCGTGTTCCGGGCCCGGAAAGCTTTCTAGCAGCTGTCCAGGGACGCCGGACTCCTCCGTCCGAGGTCAGACATGTCCTACATCATTAGAGCCCTGGTCTCCCCACACAACGCCGCCCGCGCACTACCGCTACCGAATTCCTTCGGATTACTCGAGCATCCCCGCCACGTCCCCAGGATTCCTCAAGGGTCTTCTCTAGACTCCTGACGGACTCCAAAGAGCCCCGCAGGATTGCTCATAATCTCGCAGGACTCACCCGAATCTATCAGAAGCCCTTAGGTCTTCAAGATCTTCACGCTCCATTGGAAAATCATCTGGACCCCTCACGATTCATTCGGATTCCTCAGCAACCTTCAGGAACCATCCAGATTCCTTCAGATGTCTCAGAATCCTTGAAGACCCCCAGGGATTCCCCAGAATCCCTCTGCAATCCTCAAGGCCCCTTTAGCTTCCTCAAGACCCCTCAGGATTCTATGGCATTTCTCGGGAATGCTTAGGAATCCCCAGAACTTTAGTATCGTCAACCTGTAGTGACGGCGAGGACGCGCGTGTGGGAATCACTTCCGCGCGAATGGAAAGAAACATCCCTTGGAATCGCCAGGCATCGGGACGAGAATGGGGAAGAGAGGTGGCTCGCTAATCTCGGTGATCATCTCAATTGGGGGAGAGGGGGGCACGTCCTCCTCCTCCTCCTCCTCCTCCTCCTCCTCCTCCTTCTCCTGCTCGACCTTGTCGTGGTCGTGGTTGAAGTCATCGTCGCCGTCGGCAGCGGCATCGGCGTCGTCGGTTTCGCTGGCGTCGTCGGCGTCGTCGGCGGCGTCAGCATCAGCGTCGTCGTCGGTGGCGGCGCCAACGGCCGCATCATCGTCCTGTTGATGAGACCCTCGCCGTCGCCGTTGCCGTGCGCGAAGCAGCACGGCTGGTTGAGGATCTTGTTGCGGATTATCGGCTTCCCCCTCTTGTTCATCACTATCTCGATGGGCGCCTCGCTGTCATCGCCCCCTCCCATCACACGCGGGCATCGTGCACGAAAGGCACGACGGGCGATTATGCTGCTCTGGGCCCAGGGCATTCGCAGATCGATCTGGCTCGAAAGCCGCGCGTGGAGAAAGTGTCGAAATCTCTGGCCGTGAATTGGTCAAGACCCCGTGATGGCGGGCCATCCTCCTCGAGACGTCGTGATTGCTCAAACCCACTTCGTCGAACGCCACTGTCCCTATCCTCCTTCGAGGCCCGTTCAGTCTTGTGGGCCCCAGCTTGTTCGCGCCCTACTGTTAACAATTACGCATGAAAGTATGCCCTGCTTACGACGCCCACAACCACTCGGTAACTGGGCGTACTTCTGAGTGCCCCTGCCCCCCTAGATTCTTTCTCCCTGCGCCTCGCTGTCTTTCCTGCCCCAGGCCATTTGGTGGGTGCTCAGCACCAAGCTCCCCGTGTAGTCCAAAGTGATCTTGTCAGGGTTGAAGAGCATCCACCACTGGGCCCTCATCTGGTCGATGGTGTCCCTCTTGTGATTCGGGTTGCCGCCATTGGCGTACACGAACTCGAAGAGCGGATAGAGGTCCTTGACGGGGCCCATGACGAAGCCCCAGTTCGGGTACCTGTAGGCCCTCTTCTCCACAGGGTCGCACGGAGCCTGCTTCTTGTCCCCGCACGGTGTCCATGGCAAGACCCAGTCGTCCGTGAGGTTCTCCACCTGCGAGTTAACGGCCGAGCGCCGCTGCTCCCACGTGGCGTTGTCCCGGAAGTGCCAGTCCATCTCAATGGGGAAGCAGGCCGTCTCGCCGCTCATGACGAGCTTCATGTTGGGGCCTCCCCCGCTAGCCTTCAGGATCTTCTTGTACTTGTCCTTGACAAACTTCTCGTCGCACCCGCCGAAGATCATGTCGCCGCCGTCGATCATGATCGCCAGATGATTTGGATCCCTCTGCATCGTCTCGTTGATCCAGCGGAGCATGAGGCCGTTCTTGGTACGGTAGAACTGCCATGGCTCACCTGCGCCGGGGTTCAGGACCATCGCGTCGCTGTTTCCCGCGTTCCTGCCCGGGAGCCGCATCGGGTTGCTGGCGCGCGTCTCCACGGTGACGACGCTGATGTCACCGATGTTGCGGACTGCAGCCTCGTAGCCGGCAAGCCAGCCCTCGTCGCTGATGCTGCTGTCCAGCGAGAGATCCTCGTCCTTGAGGCTGCTCTGGAGAGAAAGCCCCTTCCCCAGGAGCGCGGAGGCCAGCACCAGCGCAGACGTCGCCGGCATCGCTTACAGGCAAGATGTATCGTGAAGGTTCCAAGGATGGGTTCGGGTCGATCGCCGCAGATGGCTGTTGAACCAAATGGTGATCGACGAGGGCAAATCGCATGAACGTGGCATACGTGTGCACGCACATGCGCGCATTTCGCGCGTACGCGCGAACGCTGGCACGTACACAAAAATACAGACGTGCACAAGCTGCGTCCGCACTCGAAAGCATGGAGACAACGCGCACACATGTATAACTTTGAAGTTGAAGGCAAAGATGTGGCAAGGCACTCCTGCACACACGCGCGCACACTCTCACCACCTCACCCCAGACACACACACACACACACACACACACGCAAACACACACACACACACACACACACACACACGCAAACACACACGCAAACACACACACACACACACACACACACGCGCGCGCGCAAACACGCGCGCGCGCGCACACACACACACACACGACCGTGGGCCCGACGGCGGCGCCGGAGAGCGGCGAGGCGACGGCGCCAGCTGGCCTGCGAGGCTGGGCTGCGCCGCCGGATCGCCGAGGCCGGTGTGCCGGGGTCCTGGCAGGACCGGGAGCGTGCAGCCCGTCCAGCCCTGCGACTCGCAGCGGCCGGCGAGCGGGTGCCAGGCAGCGCCAGGCGTCGCAGGAAGGCGGCCTGGCATGCTGCGGTGGCGCCCGGGGCGGGCTTCGCGCAGGCCTGCGGCGCCGCTATCTCGGCGGCGGCGAGCGGCCCTCGGCCGGGCGCGGGCCATTTCGGCGGCCCCTGCGGCGCCAGCCAAGGCGAGGACATTCGGGAGCTGGGCGAGGAGCAGGGCGTACATGCAGCCCTGGCGGCGAGGAGCTCAGGCTCCACCAGGACTTCGGCGACCACGTGCAGGAGACGAAGGCCCAGCGCGACACGCTCAACGAGCAGGTGCGCATGGCTGTGGCGGACCGCGAGGGGATGCAAGGCCGCGTCTCCCCGCGGATGCGGGACGCCGTGGCGGGTTTGGAGGCTAAGGCCATCACCATCGAGCAGCTGGAGCAGGAGGTGCGCCACCGTACCGATGTGCGACGCAAGCTCGACAAGCAGCTGGAGGCGGACCAGGCGGACTACCTCAGCATGCTCGCGCGGACCGAGGACGCCTATCGTCTCCAGCTGGCGCTGCAGCAGGACGAGCTGGAGCCAGCGAAGGCGCAGTGCGACAGGCTCAGGGAGCAGATGCACGACGCCGTGGCGGAGTGCCAAGCGCAGAAGAACGTCGCGGCGCAGCAGGCGCAGGACATGAGCAGTTCCGTGCCCGTGCGCGCCACCATGGTCGGCCTGGACGTGGCAGAGGGCGAGGACGTATGCCTCTCCATGGGCGCGGTCAGCAGCATGCGGTACTACGTCAAGCGGGACGGGGCCTCCTTTGCGCAGATCGGTGATCTGCGTGCGGATGTCATCCTCGAGGTGGGCTTCGACGGCCGCGTGATCATCGGCGCGCAGGTGTCGGCAGAGGTGGGCCCCCAGGGAGTCTTCGACTTGCTGGAGGGCGGCTGCGTCGTGGTCCCCCGCGGGCGCATGCGGGACGGGGCGTTGCTGGCTGCCTGGATGACCGCCGCCGCCGCGAGGGAGCAGAAGCCGCAACGGAGCAGCCAGCCCTTCGCGAGGCGCCTCGCTGCTCTCGCGGATGAGGCCAAGTGCATTAATTTCGCAGTGTGGGACTGTCCGTGCCAGAAGTGCAAGGCCTCGGCACAGAATTCCCGACAGAGGCCCCGATGGCGGGGGAAGGCTCGTGCAGCAAGAGTGCCAGCTGTGTGGATGGTCTCGTGGGAGTTGCGTCGGGAGTGCCAGCTGCGTGGATGGCCTCGCGAATGCTGACACGGCCGTTGCGCCCTTGCCTCATCGCGGGGAGCGGGGCTCCGCCTCTGAGGGGCCCCATCGGAAAGATCATGCCCCCCATGGCGCGGTGGTCCGCCGTGGCCGAGGGGCCCAAGGGGCGGGCCGCCCCTTGGGGTGCCTGGGCCCGCCTTCGCCGTTGACGGGGCCCGGGCTCGGCGGAGCAGTCTCGCAGTTTTGGCCCCCCCTTCTTTTGACCTCGACGGGCCTCACCACATAAAGCCAGGAGGCGACCCCACGCAGCATCCGTGAGAACTGCTGTGAGCTCTACGCACTGTGCAGCAGGCGCCAAAAAAGGCGACCTCGCCTCGGCGAGAGCCGCTCTGGGGCGGGGGCTTCGCGAGTTCCTCTCGGAGCGCCCACCATGGCCCCCACCCCCTCACGGATCGACCCTCGGCACGGGGCGTGCTCGGGGGCCTGGGGGCGGGATGCGGTCCCGAGCGGGCCCCGGATCCGCCACCCCTCGGGGTGCCGAGGGGCGCGGCCCCTCGGCACGGCGCCGCGGCGAAGGCGGCGACGGCCTTCTCCCGAGGGCGGCTCGGCAGGCGGACACCTCGCTCGAGAGCCCTGCGCAGCGAGGCTGCGCGGCGAAGACGCCCGGCTTCTTGAGTGCACCTGGGCACCAAAAAACACGCACACACACACACACACACCAGCAGACGTGCACGGATAGTGGTAAAACCGTACACGCATACACCTGGAGGTTCGCTATCGCACACGCTCACGCCTACACATGCAACATACAAATCAATCTCAAACACACACACACACACACACAGACACACAGACACACGCTCATGTAAACGGCGCGTTGGGGCTGCCAGCCGATAGAAGGATGCGCACACAAAGACAATGTACGCATGCTAGCATAAGCCAGCTTACCCTGATATCTGCTCATTTGCTGGGTGACGGCTTTTCTACGGCCAGGAACTTTTGGAGGGTGCGCCGCTGGATCTCCCCAACGGGGGGGGGGTTAGGACCCCCCCCCCCCTTCCCCGATCCGTCGTCGGGCACCCCCCCCCCCCCCCCTCCCCGATCCGTCGTCGGGGAACCCCCCCCCCCCCTTTCCACGGCCCGTCGTCCCCTCCCCCCCTTTCAAAAAGGGAGGGGGGTCCGAACCCCCCTCCCCGTCCCCCCCTTTCGCCACGCCGCCCCCTGACGCCGGAACCCGACCCCCGCCACCCCTACCCCTAGTCCTCACCCGAACCCAAACCCCGAATCCGAACCCTAACCACTAACCCCAGCCCAAAAGGGAGTCACGAGGGGCCCCCTACCCCCTAACCAATAACCCCAGCCCCCTACTCACTACTCCCTACTCACTACTCGCTATTCGCTACTCACGACTCACTACTCAGCATCCACTACTCACTACCCACCACCCACTACTCGCTACTCACTACTCCCTACTCACTACTCCCTCCTCCCTACTCACTATTCACTCCTCACTACCCCCTCCGCAATACTCACTACTCACTAAGCAATACTCACTACTCCCTATTCACTACTCAATAATCACTACTCATTACCCACTACCCACTATCCACTACTAACTACTCACTACTAACTACTCATTGCCCACACATCACTACTCACTACCCAGTACTCGCTACTCGCTACTCCCTACGCCCTACACAATACTGACTACACAGTACTCAGTATTCGCTACTCGTTACTCCCATACTCGCTACTCAATACTCACTACTTACTCCCCGCTACTCACTAATCACTACTCACTACTTACTACTCCCTACTCACTAGTCACTACATAGTCTCTAGTCACTAGTCACAACTCACTAGTCACTAGTCACTAGTCACTACTCACTACCCACTACTCACAAATCGCTACTCACTACCCACTATTCGCGACCCACTTCTTACTACTCACTGCTCACTACTCCCTACTCCCTACTCAGCACTCACTACCCACTACTCACTACTCGCTACTCCCTACTCGTTACTCACAAAAAACACTACCCACTACTCACTACTGACTACACTCTACTCACTACTCACTACTCACTACTCGCTACTCACTACTCACTACCCACTGCCACCACCCACTACTTTCTATCTGCTCACTACTCACTACTCACTACGCACTACGCACTACGCACTACTCAGTACTCACTACTCACTATTCACCACTCACTACTCACTACTCGCTACTCACTACTCACTACTCACGACTCACTACTCACTACTCACTACGCAATACGCACCACCCACAACTCACTACTCACTAATCACTACTCGCCACCCATTACTCACTACCCACTACTCACTACACAGTACTCATTACTCCCTACTCCCTACTCAGTACTCACTACTCGCTACTCGCTACTCACTACTCACAACTCACTACTCGCCACTCACTACTCACTTATCAGTACACACGAATTACTCACTATTCACTACTCACTACTCCCCATTCCCTACTCCCTACTCCCTACTCGCCACTCACTACCCACTACTCATACTCACTACTCACTACTACTCACTACCCAATACTCACTACTCCCTACGCACTAACTCACTACTCACTACTCACTACTCACCACTCCCAACTCCGTACTCCCTACACGAGGGGGAGGGGGGTCCGACCCCCCCCCCCCTTTCCAGCGCCAAGGGGGGGAGGGGGTGGGGGGTCCGGACCCCCCCCCCCTTCAAGGGAGGGAGGGGGGGGGGGGGGGGTTCGGGACCCCCCCTCCCCCTTAAGGGGGGGAGGGGGGGGCGGGGGTTCTGGACCCCCCCCCCCCTTGAAGGAGGGAGGGGGGGGGGGGATTCTGGAACCCCCCCCCCTGTTAGTGTAATCAGGGAGAGCCACTGGCGCACTTTCGAACTTTTGCTTAACCTGTCGCGGCTGCAGCCCCTGCGACACGCACGCCTTGCAAGCTGATGCTGTGCCGCTCCGCTTCGCGGGGCCGGAGGATGGGAACCACTCGGGGCGTTGATGCCTGGGGACCGGGACGTGGTTAGCGTGCCGCGCCGAGGCGCAATGGGCCAGAACTGTAGGCACGACACGTTGAGCAGAAGCTCTTGACTGTAACCTTCTGGCACGCACGCCAACCTCTTCTCGAAAGACATTAGCAGCCTCAGACGCTGCACTCTCGCGCGTGACCTCATCTGCCCTACCGTCGCTCCTCCCGCCCGCAGGCACCTGACGATGGCCTCAGGAGCATCAGCATCGCCAGGGTGCCCAATACGAAGGCCCCGATCCAACCGTGGCGCTGCTCAGTCCTGAGAGGGCGAACAAACACCGATACCGCTGCTGTATGGACCTCCCCCGGGGCGCGTTCTGACCAGAAGTTCGAGAAGAAAACAGCCGGGGCGACGAGGGCTCTCTAGAACGAGCAGCGGAGTGAGTAATTATATATCGCTCGCGCCTCAGCGGTATGTGTGTATCGGAGGTTGGGGGGTGAGATCGCAGTAAAATGGAGAGCCCCCACCATGAAATCGGTTTCGGTTATGTGTTCGTGTCGTGCGCGCTGGCGAGGCGAAGCTGCGTGGGCGCGAAAGGCGCGAGAGGCGAGAGGCGCGGTCAGACCAAAAGACATACCCCCCCTGGCGTGGCAGGCGGGGAACGGGGGTGTCCCGCCGCCGTGTCCCGACGGTGCCTCCTGGAGTCTCGTAGTGTCTCGTAGTGTTTCGTTTCGTCTTATGGTGTCTCGTGGTGTCTCGTGGTGTCTCGTGGTCTCTCGTGGTGTCTCATGGTGACTTGTGGTGTCTCGTGGTATGACTTGGTGTCTCGTGGAGTCTCGTGGTGTCTCGTGGTTTCTCGTGGTGTCTCGTGGTGTCTCGTGGTATCTCGTGGTGTCTCGTGGTTTCCCGTCGGTGTCACGAGCTGCTCGTGGTGTCTCGTGGTGTCTCGTGATGGTGTCTCGTAATGGTATGGTATTCCGTGGTGTCCCGTCGGTGACCCGTCGGTGTCCCGTTGGTGTCCCGTAGTGAGGTTGACAGCGAGATCGATAGCGAGATCGACAGTAAGACCGATTGCAGGATCGACAGTGAGATCGATAGTGAGATCGAAAGTGAGATCGAGAGTAAGATCGATTGTTAGATCGATGGTGGGATCGATAGTGAGATTGATTGTGAGATCGATAATGAGATCGATATCGACGTCGATATCGATAGTGAGACCTATAGTGATATGTATATGAGGTCGATAGCGATAGCGATGGTGATATCGATAGTGAGATCGACAGTGCGATCGATAGTGAGATCGATTGAATGGAGAGACCGTGATCCACCGCCGCTTTACTGTGGAAAATTGCCGCCCTTTTCCTCCGGAACCCGGGGGTCCCCCCCCCCCACCTCCGAAAATCCCCCCCCCCTGCTGGAACCCCTCCCCCCCCCCCCCTTCCCCCGGCAACCCCCCCCCTCCCCCCCCCCCCCCCCCCTCGAGCTCGAAAACCGGGGGGGTCACTACCGGTTCGAACCCCCCCCCCCCTCGAAAACCGGAGGGGGGGGTCACTACCGGTTCGAACCACTGAGCTGTCCCACTGTTCCCACCACTGTCCCCACTGTCCCTACCACTGTCCCCACTGTACCTCTGTCCCCTTGTCCCACCGCCGTCCTCGCCACCGCCTTCACCACTGTCCCCACCACCACTGTACCCTCCACTGTCCTACTGTTTCCACCACATTCCCACTGTCCCCACACCACTGTCCCCACCACCACCGTCCCCACCACTGTCCCACAGTCCCCACTGTTCCCACCATTGTCCTCACCATTGTCCCCACCACTACCGTTCCCACCACTGTCCCACTGTCCCCACCACTGTCCCGCTGTCCCCTCACCACTGTCCCCACCACCACCGTCCCCACCACTGTCCGCACCCCCCCTCGGTTTTCGAAGGGGGGGGGGGGGGTTCGAACCGGTAGTGACCCCCCCGGTTTTCGTCGAGGGGGGGGGGGTTCGAACCGGTAGTGACCCCCCCCTTTTCATGATGAACGGGGGGGGGGAGGTTCGAACCGGTAGTGACCCCCCCCGGTTTTCGAGCTCGAGGGGGGGGGGGGGGGTTCGAACCGGTAGTGACCCCCCCCCCTTTTCATGATGAACGGGGGGGGGGGGAGGGGTTCGAACCGGTAGTGACCCCCCCCGGTTTTCCGCTAGCAGCGGTAGAACACGCTCTTTCATTGAATGAGACGTTGGTGACTCCCCTCCAGACTTCCTTATCACTCGCGAAGGTCTGTCGTACAGGTATGCACCGATCTATCTATATATCTGTACACACACATTGCACTTTGAATATACATATATACACATGTATGTAGACACCGATGCATACATTATAACATACAGAAATATACGTGTCTGAGTACGTATGTGTGTGTGTGTGTCTGCCCCCTCGGAGGTCCAGAGGTTGGAGCTGTCCCGGGCCAGCATCCACTCCATGTTCGCGGACAGCGCGTCCTCGCGAGGCTGCGTGGAGACAAGGGGGCGGCGCGGCCGCCGCTCGGGCCCCGTCCCCCAGCGCTCGCACACTGCACAGGGTGGCGGGGCGGGAAAGACGGGCGGGGAGAGGGCAGGGCGATGGCCTTGGGGACGCGTATTAGCGTCGACGTGTGCCTGAGCACCCAAACAGTTCAGCGCGTCGCAGACGGTGTAAACGCACATCGGCGCACCACGCCCACGCCCACACCAACGCCCACCCCCATACCCACACGCACGCCCACGGCCACGCCCACGCCCACGCCTCAGCAAACGCACACGCCCACGCCCACGCCGACGCCCATGCCCGCGCCCACGCCAGCGCCAACGCCTACGCCCGCGCCCGCGCCCACGCCCACGCCCACGCCCACAGCAGATTGCCAGGCGCCGGGGGAGGGAAGTAGGCGCGGAAACGCCGGGCAAGCGACCTCCTCCTCGTCCTCCTCCCTCCTAGGCCCTACTTCTGTTGCTCCTCCTTCCGGTGCCCTCCCCCCTGAAACCTTCCGCGCCTCCTCGGCCCTCCTCCTCCTCCTCCTCGTCCTCGTTGTCCTCATCCTCGACCTCATCCTCCTCCTCCTGCCCACCCCCCGCCCTCCCGCTCTTCCCCACCCCGACCCCGCCTTCCGTATGGATTCTGCGCCGTGGGCCCCATTGCTGTGGGTCCCAGGGCCCCCGGGACGGGCCCCCAAGGGGTGCTCACCCCGGCGCCTGCGTCGCCACCGCGCCGACTCGGCCGGGGCTAGAGACGAGGGGATTATCTTTACCAGCCAGGAACATATCCCTATCCCTATGCTGGGCATCTCCTCACTACGATGCCAATCTTAGGGATTCCCTTATTTTTTGAGGGCGAATCTCTAAGATCGTCCTCGACTTTTGGCGTGTCAATCTTAGGGATAGGGATAAGTTCGAGGCTGGTAGTATCTGGAGAGGACGATGGCGGGGAGAAGGCTCGCGCCCTCTGGGCGGCGCGTCCTGGAAGCGCCCGCCGAAGTGGGACTCGCGGCCGAAGGCGTGAATGGTGGCCGCCCCGGAGAACCACTCCTCCCAGGGAGGGGGGGGGGGGGGAATCCTCCTCCTCCTCATCCTGGTGCTTCTCGTCCGCCTCATCATCGTGCTCCTCATCATCGTTACCATCACAACCACCCCTACCATCCGCATCAGGTAAGGCTAAGTATAAGTGGCTGCTAAAGGTATTGTGCGTTTGTCTGGGTGTGAATTTGTCTAAGTACAAGCGGCTGCTGTGGAGCGTATCAGTACGAGTGGGTCTGGGTCTGAAAGGATATTGGACTGGGCATAGGTGTCAGCGCGAGTCGGCCTTTCGACCTGAAAAGTTCACCCCAAAAACTGGCGCGAACTCGCCCGGGACATACCACGCGGCACCGGACCGGAAGCCCCAAATGCGATACCTGCCACTCCGAGGTGGCGGCAGGCAGCTGAGGAGAGTCGCGTCTGCCCCCACGCTGTAACCCCACCCACTTCCCGAAGTTGCAAGTCTAACCCAGAGGTACCAAGTGGAGAAAAAACGAATGCTACGCCTACGATGCACAGCGGCAATTCTGGAGCTAGTGGGAAGACTCGCATTCTCATACGAACTACAACTCTACCTGGGACGCCCCGACAATATCCACGCGAACGGGCCTGTGTGATACCCCCGGGCGGCTCCCTCTTGAGAGGCCGAAAACGCCACGCCTGCTACATCGTGATGGGCATGGGGCTCTGCGAAGAAACGCGTCTACCTTCGAAAGGGGAAATTCTACCTGGCATGTCTGGGCAATCTGGATGCGAACGGCCCCTGGCGACTCCCCCTTTGGGAGGACCGTCTGGCATTCCCCCTGCATCGCGACGGCCCTTGAGCTACAAAAAGAAACGCGTCCACCTCCGAAAACTACAATGCTTCGTGGGGGCCCCGCCAAGCTGGGCGGCTCCCCCACTGAGAGGCCCAAGCACGGTGCATAGCTCCGACAAGAAGCGCGCCTACCTCGCGTCTACTTCTGAAAGCTGCAACTATGCATGAGCGGTGTGGCACTATGGACGCGAAAGGGGGCCGTGTCGTATCCCCGGGCGGCACCCCCTTGAGAGGCCCAAGTGCAAGGACTGCGATATCGTCATGGCCATGGGGCCCTCAAAAAAAAGCCTACCTACGAGAAAAGCCGTTCTACCGAAAAGGCCCGACAATACTTTTTGCTCTCTGGCACGCTGGATCCCATGACGGGCAATTCAATCATACACGGGCGCGTGCGCCGCCGAATGAACCACAGCCGAGCTGCTAGAGAGTAGCTGCGGCCGTGGTCCCCATCACTCCACTGCGCAACCCCAAATGCGCATGAAGCAGCTGTTTCCTGACCAGCCTCAAGACACGTGGGCTGTGATTGAAGGCTGCTCTATCAGGCCCTAAGGCAGAAAACAAGCGCCAACCCCAATGCACTTCACTGCCAGCGGCATGCACCCGTTCGAGCCGCGCGCATTACGCTCCTCAGGTGAAGACGACGGCTCAGACGCCGAAGCCGTAGATGGTGCGACCCTGGCGCTTCAGCGCGTACACGACGTCCAGTGGGCTCACCGTCTTCCTGCGAGCGTGCTCCGTGTAGGTGATCGAATCGCGCAGCACGTTCTCCAGGAACTGCTTCAGGACGCCGCGCGTCTCCTCGTAGATGAGGCCGCTGATGCGCTTCACACCGCCGCGACGCGCAAGCCTGCGGATCGCAGGCTTCGTGATGCCCTGGATGTTGTCGCGAAGCACCTTCTTGTAGCGATTAGCCCCGCCTTTGCCGACCGGCACGGTCTCCCTGCTGGTCTTGTCCCCCTTGAGGCCGAGAGCTTTCGAAGGCATGCCAGCTGCCTTCTCCATGGTGCCTCGCCGGTTCCAGGCCTCTGGTTAGCTCGCGTCGGTCTGGGCGCTCGAGCCACAAGCACTTGAGCCAAAATGGCTACGAAGGGGCCCGACCAGATTGACACGATAACAGTAAGTCTGGCTTGGGTTTTTGCGTGGTATACGCTACGGCCCCCGGTGGGCCGTAGCGCAACATGGAGGGCCGTAGGTGGGGTGGTGACGTTGGTTTTTGGCCGCCAGCTGCCATGCCTGGTACATTGCGATGCCCATGAGGGTTTGGAAGGTAGACGCGTCTATCTCCGAGAACGGCTGACGCTGACGGGCCCGCGTCATAACCCGTGGCGGCTTCCCTAGTTCGGGGAGGGGGCCCACCTGCCACGCACGTTTTCTCTCACCGACAGCCACCGGTAAAGTCGGATCGAGAAATCCCTGCCCCGCAAGAGGGCCATGCCAGTCGCACGAACCACGGTGACAAAGGACTCAGCGAGACACGTGCCCGGCCAGTCGGAAAACAACCGATTCGCAACGCGATAGAAGGAGCTTAGAGGCAATCTAAGCGGTCGCAGCTGGGACCAGGCAGTGCGACCAACACAGTGGCACCAAGATTCCGAGGAGGAGCGAAACGGAGAGGGAGGAGGAGGAGGAGGAGGAAGAGGACGAGGAGGAGGAGGACGAGGAGGAAGAGGAAGGAATGAAGCATAACAATAGAACCCATGTGTGCGTACCCCGTCGGGGCTCTGCCCTCAGCACTCGCACGAGATGCCCTCACGGGAGAGGTTGAAACGGCCATGGGGCTATGGAAAGACACTCACCTAACTCCGAAAAAGGCCAACTACCGAACAAAGACGGACGCGAACGGGCGTGACATACCCAACGGCGGCTCCCAGTCTGAGTTTGAATAAGTCTGAGTGTGAGTATGATCGGGCGGAATGGCGAGCGAGGTCGCGTACATATGAGTGGGTCTGCGTGTGAGTAAGTCTGGGCATGACTGCATCCCAGTGTGAGCGACTCTGAGGTTGGGCCCGTCTCAACCAAAAAGCTGGTCAGCGTGTGAGCGAGTCTAACTGTGAGAGAGAGGAGTGGATAGGAGAGACGAGGCATGGGCGTCCCATTGAAAACCAAAACCAAAGATTTAGGAGTTGGGCAAGCTGGCGTTGCACATGAGATGAGTGATGAGTACAGTCGAACTCGATTAAAGAGGACACGCGAGAGGACACAAGACCCTTCCGAGAGCCACATTGCCACAGGAATGTAGGAAGCATTGGTCGCGAGACACAGGACACAAGAGTACCCTTGATTTGGCAGGGTCGCCCCTACTAATCTGGGCCGACTGCACATCTCAGCATGGGCGGGTCTGAGCACGACAGACGGAGTATGAGCGGGCCTGGGAACAAGCCTGAGTGGCAGTGAGTCTGTGTGTGGGTGAATATGAGCATGGTCAAGCCTGAATGTGCGAGCCTGAGTGTGATCTAGCAAGGGGGAAGAGAAAGAGAGAGAGAGGGATGTAGAGAGAGAGAGGTGCAGAGAGATAGAAAAAAGGAGAGAGAGAGAGAGAGAGGGAGAGAGAGAGAGAAAGAGAAGATAGAGAGAGAGGCCGATATGTATGTATCTAGATCTATAAGGGGATAGAGGGGTGTAGAGAGAGAGGGAAACAAGCAGCAAGAAAAACATCGAGCAAGACACAGAGAGGCATATATATATAGCGAGAGAGACGCCGGAGAAAGAGAGAGAGGGGGGGCGAGTGAGAGAGAGTGCGAGAGAGAGGCGAGAGCGAAAGAGCCAGAGAGAGAAGAGCGAGAGAGAGAGAGAGATGAGCAAAAGAGAGAAAGAGAGGTGTATAGTAGAGAGAAGGGGGAATAGAGAGAGGGATGGAGAATGAGAGGGAGAGAGAGAGAGAGAGAGAAAAGAGAGAGAGAGGGGAGAGAGAGGAGAGAGGGCAAGAGCCTATCTATATATATATGTATAGAAAGAGAGGGGAAGCAAGAGAGAGAGAGAGATAAAAAGAAAGAGAGGAAGGGAGAGAAAGAGCAAGAGAGAGAGAGAGAGAAAGAGAGAGAGAGAGAGCGAGAGATAGAGAGAGGGAAACAACATATAGATGGAGTGAGAGGAAGAGGGAGACAGAGGGAGGAAGAGGGAGAGGGAGAGAGAGAGAGAGAGAGCGAGAGAGAGAGAGAGCGGGAAAGAGAGACAGAGAGAGGGAAACAGAGAGAGAGAGAGAGAGAGTGGGAGAGAGGGAGACATGGATACGCACGTGAAGATGTCAGCACAGCGACGAGAGCGAGACAGCGAGAGGCCCAAAGAGCCAGAGACGAGGACAGCGCAGGAGAAAGCCAGGGCGCGTGTGCTGCCCACCACTCGCCAAATTGACTGCACATCCCCCGCGCTCCTCGAGCAGGCTGAAGACGGGGCTCTTGGTCACCATCCACCAGCGGATCGTCTGCGGAACATCGGGGGGCATCGAGTCACGGGGGGAAGGAAGAGGAGAAGGAGGAGGAGGAGGAGAAGCGAAGTGGAGAAGGAGAAGGAGCAGAAGTGAAGGAGTAGAAGGAGAAGTTGAGGGGGGGAGAAAGAGAAGGAGCGGAAGCGAAGAGGGGAAGGGGAAGGAGTAGAAGCGAAGCGAGTCGTGAGGGGAAGTGAGCTGGAAGGAGCAGGACGAGGAGAAAGAGAGGTAGGACAGCAAGGGGGAGGATCAGGAAAACCCGGGGGCGAGAACAGGTGGCGCACGCGCGCTTTGGCTCTTGCACCAGGGGGGCGGCGAGGGACCCGAAGAGTGCTGGAGCCGCCTCGGGGCCACGTGTGCGGGCTCTCTCTGGGTGTCTCTTGGGCCGCCGTGGTCCGTTCGGGCCTGTTGGGGGGGGGGGGGGGCGTGAGTTGTAAGGCCTGGGGGCCGTCTGGGGGGGGGGGGGGAAGGCCCGGGGCAGTCTGGGGGGTGGCCTAACGGGGCCGCCCTGGAGCCGCCTTGGGACCATCTGGGTGGGCTTCTCTCGAGGCCTCTTGGGCCGCTCGGGGGGCGAGGTGAAGGCCAGGAGGCAGTCTGGTGGGGGGGGGCAGCGATAGGGGGAACTGGCATGGAGGGGGGGCATCGACCTGGAATCGGCGATACCTCGCCGATTAATCGGCGATAGGCCCCCGATAGTGAATCCGCACCCTCCGGGGCGGGGGGTGGTCTATCAGGCCCCTCCCTATCGGCGATGAATGTGCGATTGTGGGTCAAGGCATCCCACTCTATGCCTATCCCCCCCCCCATCGCTGCCCCTGAGGGGGGTGAGGGCGTATGCGAGCTGCCTTGCGACGGGTAACCCAATCCAACAAAAAGATTTGTTTTGTTGGTTTTCAATTTCTGTTTATGATTCTGTGTATACATATACACTAGAACCATCGCGCGCGCTTCGCGCGCGCTCAGGTTCTAGCAGGCCCCAGGCCTTGACGAATTCACTGCTCCACTGAAGTAGTGGACCACAGTACACGCATGCCAATCTGCATTCCGAAAGGCCTTCGAGGAAAATGGTTGTGTAGGGGAGCGAAGGCCGTATGAATCGGGTTCCCAGAAGGCCTTCTGGGAGCATGAGTTCGGGGGCGTCTTGGGGAGCCTGTCGGGGCGTGCCGTCGTCGTCGTCGTCGTCGTCGTCGTCGTCGTCGTCGTCGTCGCCGTCGCCGTCGTCGTCGTAATGTCGTCGTCGCCTATTGGGGCGCGCCGTCGTCGTCGTCGTCGCGTCGTCGTCGTCGTCGTCGTCGTCGCCGTCGTCGTCGTCGCCGTCGCCGTCGCCGTCGTCGTCGTCGTCGTCGTCGTCGTCGTCGTCGCCGTCGTCGTCGTCGTCGTCGTCGTCGTCGTCGTCGTCGTCGTCGTCGTCGTCGTCGTCGTCGTCGTCGTCGTCGTCGTCGTCGTCGTCGTCGTCGTCGTCGTCGTCGTCGTCGTCGTCGTCGTCGTCGTCGTCGTCGTCGTCGTCGTCGTCTTCGTCGTTTCGTCGTCGTCGTCGTCGGTTCAAGAGGGCACTTGGGGCAACTTTGTGCGAAACGATCTGCGGAGGGCCGCGAGAAGGCGATCAGTCATGTTCCCAATCAACTTCCCAGACAGCTCTCCTGTAGCATGATGGTACTTCGAAGCCTCCGGAGACTCGCGGGCCCATGATGAACCATGTCCCCGGAAGGCTTTCTGGGGACATGGTTTGTTGGGGTGTGTTGGGAGGTCTCTTGGGCCTTCCCTGGGGGCCCCTGGGGGGCCTCTGGGAACTCTCGGGCCCATGATGAACCATGTCCCCAGAAGGTTTTCTGGGGGCATGATTTCTTGAGGTGTGTTGGGGGGCCTCTTGGGCGTTCCCTGGGGGCCCCTTGGGGGTCTCTTGGGGCTTCCAGGGGGCCTCTTGGGAGCCTCACGGGGCTTCATGGGAGCCTTCTGATGGCCTTTCCCTAGGAGCCTCTCAGGCCGGAGACCTTGAAATGTCGCGCTCTTCGGGACCTTTGGGTCGCTCTTGGGGCTCTCTTGGGGCGCTCTCGAGGCCCTCTTGACTTATCTGGGGAACCTCCTGGGCCGTCTCTGGGCTTTCTTGGGGGCCTCTTCGGCCGTCTTGGAGCGATCTGAAGAGCCTCTGACGCGGTCCGGGACCGTGGGGAGGCGGAACATGGGAGAGCGCAAAAATACTTCAAAAATCATTGGAAAATATGTAATGTTCGGCTTCTGTGGCCCTTTGGAGGGGCCTCTGGAGGCGCTCTTGGGGCGTTTTGGCGGCGTCGTCGGCCGTCCTGAGGTCATCTTCGGCATGTCTGGGGCCTCTGGGGGCTGTCTTTAGGCGTCCTGGGAACCCAGAAATCATGTTCCCGGAGAGGCTCCCGGGAACATGATGTCGAACGAGGCCCTCTTGGGCCTCCCTGAGGCCGTCTTGGGGGCCTCCTGGGCTGGCTTTGGGGCCTCTTGGGCCGTCTTGGGGGGTTCCGTCAGCCCCACAAGACGACCCTTTTGGGCCCTCTTGGGCCCTCTTGGGTCTCTCTTGGGCTGTCTTGGGGCTCCTCGGGGACGTCTG